ATTGTCACGTCACGCCGTGACCATCTTATATATACCAGGCCACCCCCAATCTAGCAAATGCTACAGCACTCCCGAAGGAACAGGATAGTTCTAGAAAACGGGTGGCGTGATATTAGTCACGTGATCTCCCTGACGCAACAATATTTTTAAGCTTTCTTTGTGTAAAAACGAATCATATAAATATTATGCGGAGACATACATTTATTTTATTTAATGTGTTCTCTCTCTTCAAAGTCCCCCAGTGAATAAGCGATCAGTTTAGGGACTTACAATTTTAAAATTCAGGGTTCGATTCCCCATGCTCAAAACACAGAAAAATCCCTCTTTCTATTCAATTACTATACTTACCAATTTGAGGGGTCTGTGAATGTTAACTTAACTGAAATATAGTCTAGGAAACAAATTGACATATCATTCAACCGGAAAATGTTCTGAAGTCTATGAAGATGCAATTATATTCTACAGATGTCGCAACGTGTAATGGGTGGACTTGTACGGAATTGTAACATTTAGTAGTTCTAGTTGTAAGATAAGTAACTTTAGACGAAGTATTGGCGTAAGTAATAATAAGTAACTTGTGATATAAGTTACGGCATGAAGCTAAAAATTGCAGAGAAATAATACGATTAGTAGTGTTGTTTTTTTTATTTATTTATTCACACTTGCATTTGCAATACCAATTACTTTTGAATTATTTTTGTACTTGTAAGTTGTAGTAATTTGTGCTGTAGCATTAGTAATAATAATAGACTAGTTTTAGTATTACTAATATTGATAATTGAGTATTAGATTTAGTATTACTTATTATTTCTTGTCGCTACTGGCATTGACTGTGATTGGGGTAAAGAATAATGCTTATAAATAGTAATGTTGATAATAGGTATAAAGTCATCATGTTACCCTTACAGAATATAATTATACAACAATATCACTTGTATTAGTAATGAGCAGGATCATTACCACAGTATCATTGATTAAACCTGAGTTAGGCATAAGTTATAGTTAGAATGTTACATTCATGATTCAGTGCTTAGTGATTTTTAATGTAACTTGTGGCTCTATTCGTTTAAATATGACAACAGTACTGGAACGATAGTGAAAAGAAGAATTTAGAAAACTAGTGAGTTCTAAAACTTAAAAGTAAAAGCTTTCAATGCATATAATTTTTATTTATATATAATGTATACTTATAACTTAGCTCAAGATTAAGTTAGCACTTATTATTAGCACTAGCATCATTGTCACTGGCTATTATTTGTTAAAATTTGGTTATGTTCTGTAAAAATATTAATAATCTAACATTTAAGCTTTGAAGTTTGATAATGCTATCACAAGTCAATGTCTAGTGATCCACATTTTTATTTTTTAATTTAATGTTCAACAACTTGGCTCTATCTCTGTTTTGTCAGGTATGTGTTATTCTAATATAAAATATTTACTACACACCTAATCATGGAATGTTTAGTTCACTGTATCTCAGTATACACTAAGGTATATAAGTTATAACTATTAAAAACTTATTTTCTTTACTACGATTATTGCAAGCTTAAAACTAAGTTTTGCTAAAATGTGTCATGCACAGTTTTGTTCATAAATGTACACAATTTTCAAACTTTCTGAGGGTGTAGCATACATTATTTCATAGATTCAAGAAATTTTTTGAAAGATAAATTCTAAATGTTTCTTTATATGTGTTGTTATATATCAAAATTTAATTGGATTAAATTCGAGTGCAGTAGAAGGAAAGGTCGTAAGTTTTGGAGATATCAAACACTTCTTTTGTGTTATTTCTCCATTAAGGTGGTACATCTGGGGAACACATTTTCACCTTGAGTGGTAAGTAAAGGCTGCAACTTTACCCAAGTTTGAGAAAAGAGTTGATGAATCTTTAGAACAGTAGCTCTCAATAGTGACCTGTGGGCCACAACAGGCCCACAAAAATCTGACTTGTGGCCTGCAATATGATTAGATATTGTTTCTGAGAAATTATGTATTCCCCTGCAAGCTCAGGCCCAGTCATTAGCTTTATGGTCATATCTTAACCTGCAATGTTGCAATATGGAAAATTGCTTTAGGGGTTCAAGACTGGGTTTAGTGATTATTTTTATTTTTGGTGTGGAAGGTCTAGAAGTTTGTACATATCTGATAGATTAAAAGGGCTCTTGGTGTCTTATGGTTAATATATAATTAAACGTTTGAATATTTAAAGCCTTTACTGAGTCACTCTGAGTGAAAGTTGAAGTTTTTTCTAAGAATAAAATTGTATTTGCATAACCTTTAGACACTTCTAGATTAATATCAAATTCTTTTTGGTATAACTTTGTTTTTTATCTTATTTTCTCAACCTTAACACTAACTAGTAGTAACATCAATGTACAGTGAAATAAAAAGTTGAAAAATATAAAATAAAATGAGTAATACCATTTTTTCCTTTACAATTATTGCAGTATTTGTGAGAAAGCTCCAACTTACTTATATTAAAAGCTTCAACTATTAGTCTTTTCACATCTGTCTTTTACTTTTATAGTTTTATTATTTCTTGTTCTTTGTACCTATTACAACAGTAATCCTTGCATCAAAACCAATAAGTCACATCAGGAGCCTATTAGCTGTTTCCCTATAGTTCTAATATAAACAGCACATAATTGTGAGGTGTCATATTACACAAACACACTTTAGTTTGTAAAATTTTATTTTCCTGAAGTTTGGTTAGGCTAAACAAAAAAGTTTCTAATTTTTATGTTTAAGTTACTTTGTTTAAAAAATATTGAACAATAAATAAAATATATACATAAAAATAAAGATATGTAGTACCTACTACATATCTGAGCTCATTTTCCTTAGAGTAAAAATTAAAGTTGTTCTTTTATAAACCTCATTGAGTCTCACAAATTTTAGTGTCCCAAAATATTCATTCAACTTCCAAATATGCATTTTCAAACTCAAAACATATGAGCTTTTTGAGTAGAATGTCCTGAAATTACATAATTTTTCTGTCTTTTTAAGTAAACTATGAATATGTGTAACAAATTCCTTTTGCAATTGAAGCAACAAAATATGATCACTACAAACCAAACAATTCCATTGACAAATGGTTTTTGGTAAGAAATCTAATCAGTGACTTGTAATATTTATCTAGAGAAGAATCTGTTCTCTCAATTGGTTATAAACATGTTCATCAGACTTGCAAACAAATTAGCAAAGATTTTACACAGTCAGAAAAGGGAGGGACTTCTTTTGTGTATTTGACAAATTTATTGATATTTCAAGAAATGAGGAAGATGGGTTGTTCAAATTTTAGATTTGTGTACATCATTATGCATAGTTTGTGTTTATAATTAATTGAAAACTGCAGTAGCCTATTTTTGATGCTAGAAAATTCTTAAATGGAGAAATCAGAGCTCAGACTCGCCCTGTGACGCAGAAAAATTTAGATTGAGAATTTTGTAAATATTTCTTTTCAAAATTAAGAAGTTAAAACTTTGATAATGTACAAATTTTAATTGTAAACTATATTTTCATTCAAAGTTGTTTTATTAAGTTTTGAATATAACTAAATGGTTGTGATGTGCAAAAGAGCCAGGCCCAGATATGAAGGGTTAATATTTGTAATAAATGTGTTCCTATAACTTTAACAAGGCCCATTTTTTACTCCAAAAATAAAAAGTAACTAAAATATTAAATTGGTGACAATTAACACATTTCAACTTCTTTTAACTCTTAATACCACACACAGAACATAAGACAAAGTTCACTATCAAAATTTGTGAAAAATTATTTTTCCGATACAGTACTTTCCTCTGTTCAAGATTAGTTATTCTTGTCGAGTGCTGCCCTCTATATGTGAACTTTTTCTTTTTGCATGCCACAAGTCTTCTGATCTCTCCTATTGGAATCAAATGATTCCAACATGTTTCTCGTGCAAATCATCGTGCATCACTTTTCCACCAATAGTAGCGTGACATATTCACATGATGCATGTGACTCCCAATATACGCCTCTACCGAACTATCACTTTTCATTTGGCAGTGCTTGTGCTTGGATGTGTTCCTTTGTTTGTTTCAAGTTTCACGTTAAACTTTAGTATACTCGCGAAGTGGTTTTCATTTAAATTACTTCCAAGTTTATCAAGACTGTTTCTTCACTTTAATTTAATCCAAGTTTATTACAGTCACATTAGTATTGATAATTTGGATTTTGGTTGACTCTTCTTGATATGAATTCTGAAATTCATGTTACCACTTCGGGGGTCACAGATTTCAGGTGTGGGCGACCTGGCAGGAGATTTATTGGCGTTTATTCACGGAGAAATTGAACAATACATGGATCAATCTCTATCTCCAGACCATACCCCACTTCCTCCCAAACATGCTGAGCCTGTTCAGGCTGACAAGGATTTGGATTGCTTATTTCCACCTCTTGGTTTTGCCATGCCTTTCCATGCCCCTCATGTTGAGTCAGTTAGGCCTACTATCGTCTTTTTGTATTTTGTTTCTCAGGTATGTAATGTTTTATCCCTCGCCCCTACTTCCTATGTACTGCATTCTTCCATACTACATGCTCAATCTTCACATACCTATTTGGTTCCCCCTCCCCATGCATGGCTTTTATCAAGTCTGTGATGAGGGGATCATGTTTCTTCCATTGAGTAGCTTTCCTTTTGACTTATTCCATACGTCCTTTTTCAATGGAGGTGTATTAGTGCAAATGGAAACTGTTCCACAGTTGGTCTGCTATTCAGAAATTCCCCGCTGACTGACCTGCTGTGGCCAGGTTTCTCACATGGCTTTCAACCAAAGGTCTTTGATCTCAGATTATGAGGCTGCTTTATCTCATACGTTCCATTTTTCCCAATACTGTTAAGTTTTTGCTTCCCCTGTTCCTTCTGCATATATTGCCCCCAGACATCATAGTCTTCTTGACTAGGATATTAATGTGGTCCTCCATTCTCTCACTTGACCTCCATTTGAACCTATTTCCTTGTGTTTCATGTTTCACCTTTCCCTTAAAACATATTTCCTTCTCCTAGCCTGTGGACATCAAAGGTCTGTGTTGTTTGCCATTGACATTTCAGGTACACTTTACCACTACCTATCTTCTCCTTTATCTGGATCATTCCTTCCTCCCAAAGACCTTTTGCAGCTAGGAAAGGTAACTCCTCCTTTTCACCTGTTTCCATCCTTCTATTTCTTATCTCTTCCATCATCCTGATCAGGATAGACTTCTATGTCTGATCCTTACCCTTCATTGCTATATTGCCCGCACGGCTTCCTTCCGTGGTACCCATTCCCAACTGTTAATCCCTTGGCAGTCTTCCTTTGTTCGTGGTCTATCCCCTTCTACCCTCACCAATTAGGTTCAATGTTTGATTCAATTAGTTTATTCTTCCTTGTCATCTTCCCAATGAAATTTGTTCAGGGTGTCTTCTCATCAGATTCGACACCTCACTTTTTCCCTCTCATCTCATCTTTGTCGGCTATTGGAGGAAATCCTACAATCGAGCATGTGGACTATACCTAATATGTTCATTTCCCATTACTTACACCATATCACAGTTTCTTCTTGATCTGGTAAGTCTATATTCATACATTCTCTTCATTTCAGGGGCCCATGTTTCATTTATTCTTTATAGGGATCCTGCACTGTACAGCCATGTTGACTCACTCTTTAACTTCTGTAGCTTCTCAGTGTTCACTGTTGAGATGTAGTGTGCATATCTTCATGAAATTTGACAGTCTTTCAGTTAACATTATAAGTCTTTCACATACAAAATATATATTTTTATTGTCGATGACACATAACCCTACTATTTTTATACTAATGGTAGTAATGCACTAAATAATTTTTATTTAATTAAATAATGCACCAAAGAACATAGATTAATGACATGCAAGTAGAAAACAAGACAAACCTGTACTCTTTATTTAAAAAAACACCCAAGGAACCCTTCTGACACTCAAATGAAGGAAAGTCCTGAGCCTATGTCTACTATAGAGATAAAAATGGTGAATGTCAGTGATGTTGATGACCTTACAGCTGCATCTCCATTTTCATCTTCCACCTAATCCTCTCCTAACACCTTCTTCAATCAAGCAAGTCAAGTGCAACGCATACACTTCCCAAGATAATAAAATATAAATTAAAGGTTATGGTAAAATCTTTTTAAAATGCTGTTTAATATTCTATGATATTTATACATAAAAAATGGGTTTCAGTTTGAGTTATTGCTTAGAAATGTCACAAATATGTTTTCTATTAAAAAAGAAAAATGCTTTAAAGTGTACAGGGCTGCTTTAAAATGCTCATAAAAATGGTTTTCAATGAAGTGCTTGGTAAATATAAATGCTGTTTAAAGGTCCTTGAACACAGAATTAGTTATAAATATGTGTACATTGTGTGTTGCGTAGTATATTATAGTACAGGTACTGTACATGTACAGTATGTATTTTGATTGCTGAGTATAAAACACATTTTCTTTAGTTATGATCCCTATTCAATACCATATTTCATTGTTTCTTATAGGAGAAATTGTTCCACTTTGCATCACATAGGCAATTTTTATGCTCTTATGGTCCCCATCCCCTCTATTTCCCATTATTCTTATGGGGGAAAATTCCCCATTATACGTCGTTTCATTATAAGTTGCAACTTTCTGGTCCCTCACTCAGGCATATAACAAGGATCACCTGTATGACCACTAATTGGCTAGCAAAGAAGCATATTAAGATAGGCATAATATTTTTTTGTTGGCCCTTTCTGCTTATTGTGTTTTTAATCTCTTTAACTGGCAGAACTTCATGGCCATAACAGACAACCCAAATCTTAAACTTCACAAATGCAGAAACCAATTTTTTGTTTTCAGGTGTCCATTGCATACTTCTTAATGTTAGTTCACATATCATTGTACTATATTAATGCAACAGAGAATGTTTATATCTATATCATACTATCTGAATAATTAATATCCCCTTATTTCACAACACAATTTAAAAATAAAGATGAAAATTTAAATGTAAATTATCATAAAAAAATTTTAATCATAATATTCAATTGAATTAGTTACCATTAAACCTTAAACATTATCATACTCATATATCTGAATACGAAAAACAGTTGTAATAATCTAATAATACAAATTATGAAAACATGATAATATATTTGAAATGTTTTTAATATCATTATAATATAAATTTGAATTAGCGTAATATAGTGTTAAAGATGGTCTTGCTATAATGTTAAGTCATTTTAGTTTAATGTTTCAGTTTGGTTTAATTCTCATATTGGAAAGCTGTATCTGTATCAATGATATTTCAGAAGGATTTAAATATTAATCTTTATGTTTTTTGTTTGTTTTTTTTTCAGGTTTTTATTGCTTATTTGGATCAAAGAAAACCATTTTCCTCAATTAGCAGAGAATTTTTGAGCTGGCAAACAAACATCCATTTTGTCAATTCAAATGATTGTTTTAAACATCAATCAATCATGGCAGAATCTTCTTATACAACCAGGATACCTGATGTAGTGCCTGTGGTTCCACCACGTTTAAAAGACAAAAGACTGTCAGATGGAACTAAACACTCTTGGCCTGTTAATGTACTTGAAAATACTAAACCTGTTGAAAAGTTTGGTAAAAGTGAACAGAATGGCTCTTCAGAATATGGAGGTACAATATCATATATATATCCATATATAGTATCTGCTTATGATATTCTTATATATATATATATATATATATATATATATATA